CTCCACCCAAAGGCTAATAAGAGTCTGCCATAAAGAATCAGCTCGCCAGCCCTTGGCTTACTTTTTCTGCGAGTCCCACCATGTGCAGCCAACAAGTGCATTGTAAATTTTGTTTTGAAGAAACGATATTATTTACACTAAGGATGAATGGTGAACTTAACCTCACAATGAGCTAGTGATAATATGGTTTAAACTCGCATTTGATGAGAATCGAACTTAGGATCTCTCACTTACAAATAAAGATGAATATCATTAGACTACTAAATGATACAAATGAATTGTAAATTGAATACCTAACCCTACTTATTATATGACTTAACTCAAATGCTATCATGCCTTAAAATAGAATACCCATTGACAAGTGGGAGCAATAACAATAGAAGCTGTGGAAGATCGTGTAGTAGTAATATATCTGCCCATCGCTACGTATGGTTGGCGTACAACCTAAGGGCTTCTTAGCCGAAAGAAAAAAAAGAAAAATGTATGCCCGGTTTGGTACCTTTAGTCTAAAGATTATATCAAAAAATTTAGTCTATTGTTTGTCCAATTAGATATAAGTTTGTTTTTCCTAGTGCCTCAAGCTCTTCTTGGTAAATACCTAACAAGGAAAATATTGGTTCAAGATTGTTTTGCAACTTCAAATGCTTCTAAAAGGAATATATATATATATATATATACTTTTTTTTTTATCAAACGATAAATATTGTTATATTAATAATCGACGGGATTCGAATCTAGCATGTCATGAAAAGATCCAACACTTTTTCACTACTGCGATAAATGACCACTTGCAAGGAGTCAAAACCCTTTTTATAATCTAAGCACCTTGAAAACTGGAAGAAATATCCTAGAAACATATGCAGATATTTCAAGTGGCCCGCTTGTTTGCATGGTCAACACCCAACCACCAGCAATTAATGAATTCCATCTTATATTATAGTTTTGTAACTGGGATACAAAACTGATCAGGATCATATCATATGCATCCAACAAACATATATATAAACGTTTAAACGTTTAAACGTTTAAACGTTAATCAGTCAGTATTTTGAGTTGAAACCTACTGTCTATGTCGCTTCCATTTTATCCAAATTGTAATTTTTTGACTGGTGTCAAACACCGTTAATTGCTGAGGTCTGGTCTTGCTCGACAGTTGATGACGCACATTCGAAGCTATTTGTATTGCTTTGATATGTTTATTTGATGATTAGAGCAAATGAGAACCATAGTATAGACAAATTAGTACCGTTTGATTTAATATGCGGTTAACTGCTGAATCAAGTTGACGGCCAACTTGACTTATGTCACAACAGTTGCTTACTTGGTCTACATATAACTTAACCTTCCTTTATATATTTATATATTTATATATCCATGTAAATGATGTGTAACAAACCAACAGGATCCTCTCCGAATCGGATCTTGTTGGTGAGGATCCTAAAGATTCGTAAATCATGTCCGTTCATCGTACATATTGCAGTTAGTTTTTATCAGGTACTGTTTGTATTTATTTTTAAATAAAAATATTTAAAATGATTTATGACTGCACGATATAAGATGAACGGATATAATTCATGAATTCACGAATCATCACAGAAAGGATCATGATTCTATAACAAATAGCGGAGGGGACAAAGAATGGTTGAAAAGCGCAAAAAATTGGAAATTGGAGGTCTCAAGTTCGAAATCCGCTGTTGATGTGGAAGCCAGATTTGTGGCCAATGGGAGGCTGAAATGCCTCTACGAGTTTTTCCGACCTCTGAAAGGGATGGATAATCATGACTTACCACCGGTTGTTCCCATTTTTAAAGAAAAAAAAAAACACAAAAACGACAACAAAATTAACAATTGTAAAGTATGGGTTTTGAGCTCCAATTTGGGTCGGTACTAGTCTACTAGAGTCAAACCCAATGAAGCGATCTATGAACTTTTTAATCCAAATTTCTATCATTTATTATGTTTAATTCGGTTTTTAAGTTTTATAGATGTTTTTTTCAAAATTTTGTAATCTTTTTTTCGATTATGATTTCCAGCAACCCTAGGGTTGAATTCGGATTAAAAGTCATTTTCATGTGATGTTTGAGTTGTTATCATTCATTTCATTCAATCATAAATCTTGAGGATTAAAAAAATGGTGGTGCTGTTCACACTTATATTTTTATATCTAGCACAACCCTTTAACTCATGTCATTTGATTATCTTTATTCATTGAACGGTCGAAAATTGATAAGTGTTAAGTAAAAAAGAGTGTCCATATACCACAAAAAATTATAAATTTAAAATAATCTCATACGTTTTTGTGTTGTTGATAATATAACCAAAGTTACCATTTAATTTTCTTTCTTATTTTCACACAATCCCAATCAACATACAGATGCAAAACAAATCATAGAACAAAATCCATCATGAGAATCAAAAGATTGGATGATCAAATCATGAATGGTACTTATATTTATCTATTAATTAATTACTTAATTTATTTATCATACAAGTGACATTATATATTAATTTACATCAAATAAAAAAATATATATATTCAAGACGCGTTGAAAATAAATTATATATGATAATTTTTTCGCTGTAAAATATGTACACACCTATTTTCTATTCTACAAGAAAGAAAGTCCGACATGTTTCCACATGGCGGCAAAACTTAACGTGTTGAAGAAAAGGTTAAATGGAGCCCACTTAATTCAAATGCTCACCTGTCTCAAATAAAATGCCACCCCTCCTAAGAAAAATCATGTTACATAAAGAACAGACTTTTCAGATATCTAGAACTAGTCAGAACATCGCATAGCATATTATAAATAATACTATATCGAAAAATATGTTATTGTTTCTTATACCTTAAGAAATTTTTCTTGAAATGTTATATGAATTTATACATTTTTTTTTCAATTTGTCATATAAATTAAAATTTTAAGGGATTTTTATATCAATTTTTCAAGATTATGATATCAATGTTATTTCGAACATTTTAAGGGAGTCGTTCTTTAGAATCAGGGCCGACGAGTCGACTTCCTCAACTTTTGCATGATGCTGAATCTACCTTGAGTATTTACACACTCAAGGGGGAGGGGGTGTGTTGTGAACTTTCCTAGTTTAAGTGTGATTGTGTAAATCCTAGATTAGATTTGATTTTAGTTATTTTTTTCTATATGAACTTGTATTCTTGGGGATGAAGGATTTCTTTTCTTCTTTTATTACTATAAATAAAAGCATTACGTATGAGGATAACATATCCTCAACACACACATTTCCCTACATTCTACAAATACATCTCTTCTCTCTCTCTTCCTTTGTCGCTGACCATCTTTCATTTATCAGATAAAATAGACTACAATACACACCTATTTTTTATTCTACAAGAAAGAATGTCCGACATGTTTCCACATGGCGGCAAAACTTAACGTACTAAAGAAAAGGTTTACTTGGAGCCCACTAAGTTCAAATGCCACCCCTCCGAAGAAAAATCATGTTACATAAAGAAAAGACTTTTCAGATATCTAGAACTAGTCAGAACATCGCGTAACATATTATAAATAATACTATATCGAAAAGAGGTATGATATTTACACACCCTATTTTACTTCTTACACATTTTTTTAATTTTTAACCGTCGGATCGAATGAATTGAAGAAGATCAACGAACATAAATTATCAAGGGGTGTGTGAGAAGTAAAATGGGGTGTGTGGATAGCATACCCCTATCGAAAAATATTTTATTGTTTCTTTTATGTTAAGAAATTTTTTCTTGAAATGTTATATGAACATATACATTTTTTTTTCAATTGGTCATATAAATTAAGATTTTAAGAGATTTGTCATATCAATTTTTCAAGGTTATGATATTAAGGTTATTTCGGACTTTTTAACTCACCACACCTCTTTAGACTTATTTTGAACATTTCAACCCCCTTTTTCTTAAGAACATGGTAGACACCGTTGAATTCTCAAAGCTTGCAATTAGTTAAATTCCATATAAGTGAGCCTAATGTACTTTTTAGTAGTTCACTATAAGTTTTGAAATGAACACAGGTCTAATGTCCAAATCAATTTATTCATCTGCCTGCTAATGTAAATATATCTTTGTGTAAAAATAAAAAATAAAAGAAAAATCATGAAAATTAGGTCAAAAATTTGAAATAATCCTGAACACAAATGAATGTCACTTACTTTGGAAAAAAAACAAATAAACTTAACATAGTTAAAATGAGATACATTAATACTTTCAAAAAATTAATACAACAAATAGCTTAAAAGTTTGTTCATATGACAAAATCCGTATAAATTTATATGACTTTTCAAAAAATTTCGTACGTGATGTCTTGACATTTCAAAAATCCCTCCACTTCAACCATCTCTCGTATGCTTACGTGCAACAACTCTCTCTCTCTCTCTCTCTCTCCCTCTCTCTCTCCCCTGACCTGTTTCTTTCAGGTCAGTTCATTTCTCGACCCTTTTATTTATTTTAGTTTAGATTTATTCCTCTTTTTTTTCTTATTTATTTCATCAATCATCACTGTCAGAAGAATAAGGGGAAGGGAAAAAAAATGAAAAAAATGAAAAAATGCGGCGCCTTTAAATATTTGTTGGAATTTTAATGGTGATTGAAGGCTCAGCACATTCGAATAATTAGCACCGAATATTCTTTCATCACCATAACTGCTATTCCCTCTTCCTTTGGCGGTTCCTCAGAATTATATCTTTAGTTTTTGGTCATCCGTTGATGCCTTCTTTCTTGGTTGTCTGTTGATTTCGAGCTGTTGGGTTTTTAAAATCCAATGGTTTGTGGGGGCTTCTGATTGAAAAAAGGGATATCAGAGAGGGATTTCGTTGCTTTTCTGATGCATGCAGTAACTGCTTGGAGTTAAAACTGTGGTAAATTGTTAAATTTTGGGTTTTGATCAATTGGGTTGTTAAATTCTTGGTAAATTGGTCATCTGGGTTGCCTCAGAATTCAATCTTTGGATCAAAGTTTGTTGCTTTGAAGGTTTTTCGTGAGGAAATCGTCCGGGTCCGGGTGTGCGTAGATTATGATTGAGTTTTGAGGATTTGGTTAATTGAGTGTCCTGAGAAATTAGATAGGGGAGGAATAGGATGTATGCGGTTGGGAGGCTAGGGAGTTATATATCAAGAGGGGTATACACCGTCTCCGGCCCGTTCCACCCTTTTGGTGGAGCTGTGGATATAATTGTAGTTGAACAACAAGATGGGAGCTTCAAATCGTCGGCGTGGAATGTGAAATTTGGGAAGTTTCAAGGGGTTTTGAAGACAAAGGAGAAGGTGGTCAACATTAATGTCAATGGGGAGGATGCTACTTTCCATATGTATTTGGATCATAAAGGGGAAGCTTATTTTCTTAGGGAGGTTGATGCAGAAGAAGGGGAGGCTGTGTTGTATCCTTCGTCTTCGAGTGATGAGACGGATGAGCAATGTCGGGAAAACAGGCAGCCATTGAAGTCCATGAGTTGCAATTATGATGCTGAGAATTTGACAACAGTTGATCAGATTGAAACGCTTAACGGGAAGATTTTGTCCAGGACTAATTCCCGGAGGTCACGAATTTTTGGGCTATTTGGGAGCAGGTCGATGAAGGAGCGCAAGAGTAAGGAGGAAGAGGGGGTTGATAGTGAGGTGAGAAGGGTGGATTCATTGGAGCGGGCCGAGTTTGCAGCTAACCTTTTGGAGGTGAAGTGGTCCACTAGTCTTGCCACTAAAAAATTCAGGAAGGATAATGCTTCCCGTTTTTCGTCTCCTAATATGTTAGTTAATGAAGATATGCAGATTGATGCCGAGGAAAGCCGGCTGAGCTCATCTCTGCCTGTGTCTAGAGTATCCAGTGATGTTGGTGAATCTTTTATTGCGGCAACTGAACAAGATGGGAATGCAATTGCTGTCATATCCAATGTCACAGGTTCTGATCTTGAAATTCAAAGTTCTTTTGAGCTAGAAGCTTGCCCTGGCAAGCATTTGAATGAGAAAGATGTTGTATTACCTGGCTGTGACATTTCTCATGCGGCGGGTGGGTTAGATGGAGTCCAACCCTTTATTTATTGTGAAACATTGTACATTGCCAGAGAAAGAAGTGGCCAAGTTCATGTTCATGCCAGAACTGAGCTGCTATCTAAGGTAATCTTTCTATCAAATCTGTTGCAATAGAAACCAAAACTTTTAAACTAATTAGGAATTTTAAGATACAATGTTTACTATGACTTATTTACCAACGCAAATATGCTCGAAATTTAGGAAACGCAGTTTGGTTATAAATATCAATTGGCTAATATTATTCTTAATTAAGTGTACACCTGGATTGTCAAGACTGAGATATTTAGTGTACTTCATCAGGATTCAGTTACTGAGCAACATGCTGGTGATACTTCCATGGAGGTACATTCAGTGGAGGCTACTGAAATTTGTTCACAAGAGACAGATGCACATTCATGCACAGACTGTAATATTGACCTTGAAGGGTCAGCAATAGTTCAACAATGCAATATTCAGACAGTCCAGCGAAATTCATTACCTGGTTCAGTTAAAAAAGTTGAGTCACAGAGCATGTCTAGTTTAAACAACTCTGGTGATCAAGTTCAAGAAGAGAAAAATACAAAAGAGGAAGAAATCGGATCATGCGATTTACAAACCCTGTCTGGGTCCGTTATTGGCCATGTCATGACAGAAGCAGCAAGTGTGTTGCCAGTGGGATTAGAGGAAGAACAATTTCTCTTCAGTGACGATGAAATCAGAATCACTGAGGTTCAGTGCACGGAATCGTGTTCTTCATCATGTGTAGACAGAGAAAATAGTCTCTCGTGTAGTCCAAAAGACAGTACAAACTATGAATCATATTCATCTCCAGAAAAGTTTGTTCCAGAAGACCCCCCAACTGATTTTGAGAAATCAATTGGAAAACTGGAGGCAGCATCAGCTGCAATTGGTATTCCTAGAAATCGTAAGGCTGCTGCTGATAAGGAAGTCGGGAAGCTGGTCGCATCATTACCCAATATGTGGCCTCATACTGACAAGTTGAGTGCACTTGATCTTCATTATCCCTTGAGCTGTTCACTGGACTCAAATGTCAATCCCTTGAAGTCAATATGGCAAGGTAAAGATGATTTGAGCTGTAGAAAGTTGGACACTGAAGAAGAGAAACAATTAGCACAGGAAACACCAGATATGGAGAATACTCAGGGTTCAGTGGAGCTCAGAGATGGTCCTGCCATTCCTGCAGTTGGTGAGAAACTTAGATATTTACATGTATGATATTTCCTGCACTAAAATGCTGAAAAGTATTCTATTTGCTTTCTTGTTGGTAGTGTGCACATACTACAGTCTACATGATTATATTACAGTACTAAGAATTGATATATTCCAAGTCAGAGTGAAATATGATCAATCTGACCATTTTTTCACTTTATTTTTTGTTAGACTTATTGCCAGAATATTCTCTCTGATGAAAATTGGAAGGGCCTAATTTGTTTTTTGGTGAATAAATATTTCTCAAGTGGTAAAATGTAGAAAGTGAAATAAATTTTGCTTTGTGCAAAGCTCTCTCGCTGGAAACACTTCTTATATGAAGGGATGAAAGCTGGTACTGCTTTTCAAACAGTTTTCGGAAAAATTCGATCTTGATAAATGTACTAATTGATAGACTTGTTATCTGTAGTTGTTTTCCATGGGATGTAGCTGCTTTATTGCTTTAGGATGATTCCATTTTGGAAAGTGCAAATATCTGAGCTGAAAGGCATATTAGCTGTCTACTGACTGGGATAAAACTATTACAGGAGATCCATCTAAAGCAAATGTTGCCACCAGTGGAAGTTGGAAACTCTGGCCTTTCGGTTCAAGGAGATCAAATTCCAGGAAAGCAATGCAGCCAGATGTGAATGGTGGTAAAAGTCCTGATGCTCAGAATGCTACAGAGAGCACCGTTGCCACTGATGGAGATAAGAATATGCTTACAGATGGAGATAAGAATATGCTTGCACCCAAGGGGATGAAGAAAATGGAGAGGGTACTCGCTCCAACGTCTGAGCAGCTGGCGTCCTTGAAACTCAAAGAAGGGAAGAATACAGTAACCTTCACATTCTTTACTGCAATGCTGGGGAAGCAGCAGGTTGTTTATTGTTTTGATTTTTATTTGGGTTCTCAACCTGGCTGTTCATTTTTAGTCTGATTTCTTTCTCATCGTTTGTTTTTCAGATGTAGTTACTGTCCTTTCTAACAATTCTTGTTGCTCAACAGGTTGATGCCAGAATTTATCTGTGGAAATGGAACACTCGCATAGTGATCTCAGACGTGGATGGGACAATCACAAAGTAAGGCTGTTCTTTCCAAACAATTCTTTGGTAAATTGTATTTTGAGAAATTTTTTCTGTCTTGCATAAGTAATGAAGTACAGTGATTTTTAGGTTTTTTTTTTTTTTTTTAATCAAATATGAGCAACAGTTTTTCTTTAACGATTCAGTTGTTCTTTATGCATTCACTTGTTGATTACTTGTGGGGGGAGGGGGGCGGTTCTCTTTGATTTGTCTGATCCCGCTTGATTTGCTTTGTTTTACAGGTCAGATGTTCTAGGTCAATTCATGCCCTTGGTTGGGGTAGATTGGTCACATATAGGTGTTACAAATTTGTTTTCTGCCATTAAGGTTTGTTTATCTCGTCCTTTTTATTTCTTGTGCTCGTGATCATGATTATTTTTAGTTCATGCTTATTTATTGACTGCAATTTTCACATTGCATTTCATCACTCCTTACAATGCATTTTGAGTACTCTGGTGGGTTGGCCTTTAGCCAACATAGGTAGCCGAAAACACATAGAGGGACTTCTCATTAACCTAATCTGTTGGCCCATCTGTGGTTCGCTCATTCAGTCATAAAGTGTCATCAGCCTACAAATTATAGGCATGATTACCTTTATAATGTGCCCGTCTCTCATCTCTTATTGCCATTGTCTCTTACACAAACATGTTACATTTTGTGTATGAATTACTCATAACTACACTGACATTGCATCTTTAAAGGAATTGATTGTTATTTCTATGCTGCAGGAAAATGGATATCAATTGCTTTTTTTGAGTGCACGTGCCATTTCTCAAGCCTCTGTCACCAGACAATTTTTATTCAACCTTAAGCAGGTTATGGTTAACCCATGCTAAATCCTTGATTTTCATTTTCAAACTAGAGTTAAGAAATCAAAATGCGATATGTATTTAGTTCTTTGCTTTCAAATATGCAGGACGGGAAGGCTTTACCAGATGGTCCCGTTGTTATTTCCCCAGATGGACTTTTTCCTTCTCTCTTTCGCGAAGGTAAGTGATGTTGGTGCACTTCTTTTTTCTAGAACTTCAACAGAGGTCTAATTTAAATTGCTAAAGTGTTCCATTTAGTTTTTCAGGCATTCTATGCGTTCGGTTCATTGCCCTTTTTTTTGCAATAATCCTGATAAAAAACTGAAATGATAAACTACGCTTCATAGAGAGGAAGTGCATCCTTTCCTTGTTGAATAATGCAGAGAAAACAATTTATATGGATAACAGAGTGGAATGTAAAATTACGTTATTTGATCACTAGACATCACATGCAATTTTCTGGTCACTAAGTCGTATGTAGTTTCTAATGCCTATCGACACTCTGTTTTCCTCAGTTATCAGGAGGGCTCCTCATGAATTCAAAATCGCATGCTTGGAGGTTAGTGTATTAAATCTTCACCTGATCACTTGTTTTACTGCCTTTCACCTTCTTGATGTTAAATAATTTGTTTCAAAGGATACTTCCGAACAATAATACATATGGGTTCAAGTATCCTTTTAAATATCTTACGTTTTTCTCTGTTTCAGGATATCAAATCATTGTTCCCTTCTGATGCAAATCCATTCTATGCCGGTTTTGGAAACAGAGATACCGATGAGTTCAGCTACCTTAAGGTTGGAATCCCGAAAGGAAAAATATTCATTATTAATCCCAAGGTAATTATGACCTTCACTATATAGCAGCAATTTAAATATTTCTAATTTTGTAATGTCTAATGCCAACCTTTCTTCGTTATGGTTTGGGTATGCAGGGTGAGGTTGTTGTGAACCGCCGTGTTGACACAAAGTCATATACCTCCCTTCATGCTCTTGTGAACGGCATGTTTCCACCCAAAAACTCATCTGAGCAGGTTTTGATTGTGCAATGCTTTTTCATTTTAAATATGTTACGGTCGAGGTCTTCTTTCAAAATCATTCTGCCCTGTTCGCCCTTTCCTGTGTGGCCACTAATCATTTGAGCATGCTTTTTTATTTATTTTCCCTGTTGATTACAGGAGGACTTTAATTCGTGGAATTTCTGGAAACTCCCACCGTGCGATATTGATGTTTGAGGTGTCGAAGAGAGTTTATTGCTTTTTCTTCTCGCCTGCGCTAGATATGGAGATGGATCAGTTTTTCCATGCACGTGTTTAGAAGTGTCGAGGTAAAATCCTCATTTCTCATTTGCCTAATCTGTCTGTGCATGGAATTTTTTGTTGTAGTATGACAATGCTAATTCATCAAGACATGTTGGTGACAGATCTCATAGGTCGTGCCGTTGTATGTAGCTAGGAATGATTGGCTAAATGACTGCTTTGCCGTTTGCCGGGCTGGGTGATTTATCGGCGACCTGAAACAATATATGGAAGAGTTGGATCAGTCCCACCTCCATGCTGCTGCTCCATTTTCTCTTCTGTTTTTTTTTTCTTCTTCTGCTCAATCCAAGTTTGTGTAGTCTGTTTCTGTACATTCCATGACCACTTCAAGTTGTAAGTATTATTTGGAAGTCAAATGGGTAAATAGGCATTCACATTCACATATAATTTAACTGTAAAGTCCTTGTTTCCAAATGTAAATTGATTTCTCATGTGGATTCAAGTATCTAGTTTTGCTCTTTCTGTTGTACTTAATCCATACTCAGCATTTTGCCAGATGCACATACTTCATCACATAATATGTAATTACGCGAATTGTTATGTTTTCATATGCCATCTTAAACTGGTAGATATGTATGCAAGGATGCGAGCGATAGTAAATGCTTGTAACCAACTAAGCTACAAGCCCGTTGCAATTCTTTTAAACTTGGTGGGAACAAAATCATCGTGAGAAAGCATACAGGAAGGAACCGGCTCATCTGCATTGCCAAGTAATCTCTGAAGAATACAAATGATGCCACACAACTCGTGCATTTTAATGTCCAATTCAATCACATTCAGTTATGTAAGTACATATACATAGGACTCGTAAAAGGTACGAGAACAAGCTGACATCAAGAGCCACCATGTTTAAATGTGCCACCAGGACCATACAGAATAATACATTTTATTTTTCTATCTCCAATTAATTTACCCAAGCTATAGAGGTTAGAGACTTAATACATATACCAGATAGAGCTGATCAGAAGTTTACGATCTTGACACCCAAATGCTTCTGTGCAAACTCTACAAGGTTGTCGAGCTCGTCCTCATCAACGAAGCCATTGCTATTGGCGTCTGCAGACCGCACTCCAAGCCTGCTCTTGAACCTGGCAAACCGGCCCCCGGAGCTCTTTTTTGCTTATTCGACCGTCTTTGTCGACATCAAATTTCTTCAACCATTTCTTCAACTCCTCCGTCGTCATAACACGTTTGCCATCGCTCGTGACGCAGCGACTTTTAATAGCCATAATATTATAATAAACTTTTGTTTTGTGAAAGCCTCAAAGCCCTGTATTTATAATCTATTTGTAAATTGATTAATTATTTTTTTGTTGGCGTTGGTTCACTCTCACTTTTTGTTTAAGTGTCATTAATTAGGTCTAGTCCATGATTTTATTTTTTTTATTTTTTTATTTTTTTTTAACAGAATGAGATTCTGATGGAGTATGCTTTTTTTGACCTATTTGTTAAAGTGTGATATTAATTAGGTCTAAGCCATGCTTATTTTACCGAATGAGATTCTGATGCATGCATTTTTTTGATCTACTAGGCTACTATCAATTTTTATTCACAATTTCTGCACAATCGTTACTTTATCATTAAGGGTGAGTCTGACAGATGTTTAGATTGAGACAAATGACTGAAAGAGTATCGATAAAGATAATTAACTAGGTTCGTAAACCTTTTACCTAAAGAAAAAGATAATTAGGCCTACTACCAACAAAGAATATAAGGACGAAGTATCGAATAGCTACCAAATGCAACTATGGATATGTCACAACATCATAATTGATATTTTCAATATATGTAATCATCCAAATCATCCCATAGTGGGTGGATGATCCAAATTTAAAAGAAAAGAAATTGCAAATTTGAGACTATTATTTCATGTAAACTTTATTTTTTTTATGTTTACAAGTATTGATTTTTATGTTCTCATTTTTTTTTTTACACTCGATACTAATTTACTCATAAAATTTACTCATCCACTTTTTATTATAAATATATTATATATAGTTGATAAATAAATATGAAAAAACCACATTTAAGTACGAGATGTTTTTGCTCTTCTCTGCAAACTAGTACGAGAATCACTTTTTCAAACGGGTAACGAATTTGCTTGGTTATCCATATATTCCTGGAAAAAGAAACATACATGAATCCATTTTCCGTTTTCTAAGTGGTATATGGCATATGTTGCCCTGTGGTATGCTGACCTTTTATAGATTCCACTTTGAATTTCCAATAGTGAATTCTCCTATTGGAATGAGCTCATTTTTCTACTTTCAAATAACGTGTCTTCACTATAAATTTTTTTTATAATCAAAATTATTCAATTTTTTAATCTTCGTTTGAAGATCATCCTTATTTGAATCGAAGATCGTTTAGTCATCTAAATGTATCAAATAAATCGACGGTTGATTTATTTGCTATAGTTGGATGACAAAACAATCTCCGATTGAAATGGTTTTTTTATTTTTTTCTATAGGGATGACTTTCTAGTGAAGAGTAAGATATTGAACAGTTTCGATTACGAAAAAGTTACAGTAAAGATACATTATTTGGGCTTGGGGATGAGCTCATCCCTCAAGAGGGGAATGCAAACATTATCCTTCATTTATGATAATACTTGTGTTTTCCCCATAGGGAAATGCATATATTCCACCTTTTACGGATAACTTAATTTCACTGTATAAACTTTATAATCGTAACCGTTCAACTTCTTAGCCTTGATTTGAAGATCATCCCTACATAAAAAAAAAAGTACTTATTCGAATCGGATATCGTTTAGTCACTCAAATGTATCAAATAAATGAACTGTTCATCATGAGTATGTTACTTGATATTCATACTGTCGATTTGTTCTATACATTTGGATGACTAAACAATCTCTGATTTCAATGATTTTCAAGTCAATATTAAAAAATCGAACAATTTCGATTATGATATTCATACGGTAAATAGACTTTTTTTTTTTTTTTTTTTGGGGGGGGGGTAAGGAGTGGAATATGTGCATTCCATGAAGAACACAAGTATTATCCAAATTAAACTTTATAAAAAGATTTTAGTGGGAATTCCTTTTTTCTTTTAATTTAACTTTCATTTGGTTTTAAAATTTAGATCTGTGTATTTTTCCTAGCTACCTAATTGAGCAATTCATATTCTGGATGCGCAGGATGCATGTCAAGTTGCTTCGCTCATGTTACCATCCTTTGTACATCTGTAAAAATATGACTTCTTGATTTAATTTTGTGTACAATATTTACAATATCTAGAATTATTTTTAGTGAACTATCAAACGCTATGACCCAATATTAATTGAAATCTAAAATGATTACAACTGCAAATTACTTGACATTCAAGGAAATACTCTATTTAAGGAGGAGAATCCGGAGATGAGAATTTTATTCTAACAATCTATAGATGATGAAATTTATCATGCGGCCTACCTATGTATGTGTTAGTTTGTGTACATACATGATATATATACATGCATGAATATATTGCGGAAATATAGACGTCTGTACCTAGTAAAGCAAAAAAATTATTTCTTTACTTTGCTCTGGCTTCATTAATATATATACGTAGGGATCAAATACATTTACCCTGTCCAACGAGGAGTCAGCCTCCTTCATTGGTTATACTATACACACGCATACAGAAATATATATAGAAATACCAGACACGACGAGTTAGATGTAATATAGCAGGCACGTAAGTGAAAAAAACTGATTACGCCACTTTAACTAAAGGGTATACCCAAGTTTTAGGGCATAGTCGACAAGCTTGTCCAGCTCGTTGTCTAGAGAAATGAAGTCGTCGCCGTTGTCATCTGCATGCCAAAGACTTAACCAAGCTCTAACGCTGGTCCATGTCGCGCCGAGTTTCGCAAAAGCTGCCTCGAGCTCAGCCTTGGAAAGTTGGCCGTCTCCGTTCTTGTCGAAGCTTTTGAAAACCATCCTTATCTGCTCCTCTGTGTAGGGTTTTCTGGCCTTCTTACCGTCATCCGGCCTAAAGTGATGAATGAGATCCCTAACCATGATACTCTATATAGATATATATGGTGATCTTGAAATTTTCTTCTGTGTTTTGTTCTACACACTACAAGAAAACTAAAAGGCTTGGCATGAATTGATGAGTGACTTGCACTATATTTATATAGGGGTGTACCCAGCAGCCTGGCCCTACGTGTAATATTCTAATGTGGTACAGGTAAAGCGTCTTTGTAGGTGAGTCGTTATAGATGCTTATTTCACTTTGGTCAAAAGGCGGCATCCCCCAAAAGAGTAGCAAACATATATATATATATTAAGTGCCATTTACTAACTCATTTCATTATGTTACTTTAAAAATTTTGTGACTCCAACCCACTCTTCAAATTTTGTTTTTTTACTTAAAAATATTCATATCTTAACTTTGTCTTATCTTATTAAGCCCAAATTTTATTTTCAAACTCTTCACCTAACAATACTTGTAAATATACATGGATTGCTATCTCTGTTGGACATACATTTTTCTTACGTGCATAACAAAACTAACTTTGTTACCTAATTGTTGTTAACCAAGCTTGATCTTATGAGAGGAAGAAGAATATAGCAGACTTAGAGAGAGAGAGAGAGAGAGAGAGAGAGAGAGAGAGAGAGAGAGAGAGAGAGAGAGAGAGAGAGAGAAATCTTAGAGAAGAAGTAATCTGTTTATTTTGATTAATTTCCTTAACTGTTTACATCATCCTTATAGTATATATACAACTAAGGTTGCTTACAACATAAGCTAACTACTTGTCTAATCTTATGACATCTGTCAAGAGTATAGCCCTTAGATTGATTACTCCTTACAATTGTTACCTCCCTTGAAGATGCTCATGTTTATTACTACAAGTGATAAAAGTATATACTACAATAGAAATGCTTATGGAATTATTCGCAAAGAGTGATTGAATGGAATAATATTCAACTTTAGGGTTAAGAAGCCTTTTGATATGGTTTATAGAAATTAATTTATTAGTTTAATATTGTAGATGATCACCAAACAATCCCCAAAAGTTGCACCCTTTAATTTATGAACCATACTTTCCTCATTCTCAGTAAGGAGAAAAGTCTTTATTTTGAATTTCACGTTTGTACAGTAAAATAATGTCACGTTAGTAGAATGATGACTTTTCTCTTTACTGAAAATGATACAAGTTTCATCCTTACTTTTGTAGTCAAATAGAGAAACTCTTAGAACCATTTGGATGGAAGGACTCTCAATTGCATGGAAACGTACATAGAATTTTTACAATAAGCTTGTATTATTTTTGGTTGGTTAAGATTAAATCTTTTTTTTTATTATTATTACAAGCTAATTAAATCTTTTTTATTATTATTACAATCTATCTTTGTTAGGATGCTGACTAGGATGATGACTCAGCACAATTAGTTAGTTGTTATAACTAATAATGGGCGGGAAAAGTTGGTTAGTTAGTTCTGTTAGAGATAAGGTTGTTAG